CAGGCTCTTTAGGCTTTTGATAAGAGAGGACTGGCTCAAAGGTAAACCAGAACTCCCAGGATGAACTACCGCAGGTGCTGGTGTGTGTGAATGTCAGCTGGCAAGCGTGCAGTCTCATGAGGCCAAATCTAACCTCAGGTGAACATCAGAGGCGGGAGTCAGAGAATCTCTGTATTAAATCAGTGACTAAGATGGTTGGAACTTCATCTGACAGCTCGTATTTCTGTAGCGTTTATGGTTTAGAGAGGATTTGAAGGACGGTGCGTCATAAATTACGTTGTAAAAGACTCCAAGAGAGGGGCAACACCCCACGTGGACATGGTGGATACTAAAATGCGTCTCTTGTAATTTATTCATTCTTTATTAATAAACTACAGATGTGGTATGGTTCCGTTTAGATTGAAATCATGCAGGACTTGAGTGAAAGTTAAAGTTTGTACAGGTAAACTGCGCCAATGTAAACGTGTTCTACGTTAGTAACCAGCAAGGTTCACCGAGGAACCATGTTTTACTTTTGAAAATGACCAGTCACTCTGAGCTTTAAGGTTGGGATTAACGTGGACATAGTCTTCTACCCCTATCTCCTGCACTGGCCTCTGATTGGTTCAGAAAATCCTGACAGATCTGCGTCACACCGGCACCTGTGATTCATGGACTCACCCATCGTCACTCTGGACAGGGAAGGCTGTTGTTGGTTTAGCGTCCTGGAAACAGCTCGAGAACGTCTCGACACTAGAAGCTAATCATTAGCATTAGCATCTCCACCACACAGCAGAACTCCTCCAGGCTTGTGGTGTTTGTGGAGATACAACGTCAACGTTTCAAAGCATACAGAGTGGTAGAGTTGTGTTTGCTGTTAGCCAATCAGAGGTGAGCTGTCCAAATATCAAGGAATAAGACTAAATCCTGCCGTCTGCGGCCACTTTCTCCTCCGACTCACTTCTGCGTCCTCAAACAGGAGCATGTGAGCTTTTCCCCACAAAACAGTTTACAAGGAAGTAATTCCTCCTAGAGACCGCTGAAAATGTAATAAAAATATGAATAAACCTGACCTTTCAATGTTTAGGGTCAGGGTTATTTGTACACACTCATAACGAGCTGTTCAGGCATGAAGAACAACGTCTAAAATTACACAGGTATCAACACGTTTGAAGCTATGACAACCGTTATGTTGCATCATGTTGCATGCGAATTTCTAATGAGGTCATAACAAGGTAAAATAACCGCTGATCATAAAATGTATTAGTGTAATGCGTTTAGCTTTACTTTTACTTTTGTTTTTAAACTTGAAATCATTTCAACCATTCAGCATCATTTACTTTTTATTCTGATCACGATCCAAAATAATTACTTTGTCTCATCTGCATTGAAACTTGACCAAGAGGCTGATGGTGCCTTTGGGATGACACTCAGAGAGTGGAAAAGTACAGACCCCGGCTCTGCTTCCATGCATGTTCCTCTCCTCCACCGCAGCTCTCGCTCTGCTTCCATGCGGGCGGCCTCAGTGACATCACCCCTCAAATAGGTCTTCTGAAGTCCCGTCCGCTGTCTCCTGACAAAGCGGAGGATAACAAGGATGATCGCTAGCTCGGCCTTGCGGAGAGAATGCGTCGGGTTTTTGTTATTATCTTGGGAGGCAGTGACGCTCGCTGTCGGCCTGTTTCTGATTTCTATCATCAAAGATGCACATGTGAAGTCAAATGAAATCAGAACAGCAGGGTGTTAGAATCTGGTCCCAAATAAAGGCAGAAACACGTTAAATTTAGCTAAGAATATGAGGAGGAGAGCTGTGGGAGGAGGGGGAGGACTCCAGGGTAAACAACATAAGGAAGGTGTTACGGTAGCGTAATCCGGCCGGGCTGGCAGAGGTGGAACACCTGGTTCAGATCTAACCAAGCTAATCTTTATCCATGATGGATGTTTGTGTTCTCCGTGGAAAAAGTTGGAAAATGTCTTTTGTGTTTAAAGATTTAGCTTAAATCATGCTAGTTAAACATTATCAAGGTGGAACTGTCGTCCATTAAATATCATTCAATTCCATCTGAACAATAACCTTTTTTGTTTTATGACACAATTAAAAATTAATTAGTTCTCAACCTGAACACATAACCAGGTTAATGACGATGTCATGGGTGGTTCTGTAGGTTGAGTGCTTTGCAGTCATGTTTCTGGTTTGATTGTATTTCTGGTACTTCCTGTTTTATTTTGTGTATTCACTTCCTGTCTCATTACAGGCAGCTTCACGACCTGAGGCTCCTCACTAGTCAGCCTTATGTCGTGCACCTGGGTCCTGGCTTCTCCTTTTATGCTTCTCTGCAAACAGATTCCTTTGCCAGTTTGTCTTCTCCAGTTGAGTAAAGTGAACCTGCTCTCAGTAACACGTCGTGAGAGTGTATTTAGTTGGGTTTGGACTCGTTCACTTGTGCTGTACTGCCAGGAGTCCTTCAGCTTATTAAACTGTGTGAGCTCTGCATTTGAGTCCTCTTTTGTGCTTTGATAGACAGTTTGATCAAACAGACGTTTTGATTCATAAAAATGTATTCAAGAAAATCAATTCAAATCCTTCTACTGGAATTAAATTCTGTTAATAAAACGCCGTCAGCAGGTGTGAACGACCTCTAAAAGGCAGAGATGGTCATCCTGGCAGCTTGGAGCATCGAGGTGTTTATTGACGCTGCGCCAAAGACGGAAGACATTACTCTAAAGCACATATGTCAGACTCAAGGCCCGCGGAGCATTTTTATGTGGTCCGCGAGATAAATATAAAAAATATATTAAAACTGGCCCGCTGGCCAATTTTACCGCAAAGACTACAACTCCCATGATGCTTTGCGGTGTCAGCGCGGAGCCGACGCGCCCCCTCCTTTGTGTTTTTTCCAGCGCCTGCTGCCGGTGTCTGCAGCTCCGCTGTCTCGGACAAGCTACACTCCTCTCACTCAGCGCCGAGTTCACTCAGCTGTTTTCTGATAGGAGATTCTAGCCGCTCAGTAACGTGTTCACGACTGAAAGAGAAAGTTTTCCAACTAACGTCCAGACAGAGCTGATGTAACTCCAGCGAGCAGCGACACGCTCAAACCAGCACGACTCTGTGGCTGCTGTAGTTGTTATTTTTCCTCCCCGACACACAACAACGTGGTCAAGCTGCTCAGACGTGTTCATCAGCACAAACCTATGTGAGCACCTGTTGTCATCTAATGTTGTCATTATTATGATGAAGATGAACAAAACAACAGGAGTCTCCTCCTCAGCTCAGATCAACCCCATGATGCAGGTATCTGGCTGGAACAGGTGAGCATCACAGTAAACCAGTGGAGCAAACTGAGCTTTAAATATGTTGGTTTTATGCTCTTTTTCTGCTCCAAAACATGAAAGTTAACAGGTGAGATATTGCATTTTCATTTAAGATAAAATGATATTTTTATTTTGTTGTTTGCCCGTGAGAAAAGATTTAACCTACAGTAAACAGGAAGTGGAAAGGCTGCAGATAGATGAATAGAATAGAAAATCCCTTTATTGTTCCTCAGTGGGGAAAGCTAGACGTCACAGCAGCGATGACACGTATTACAGGAGAAAAAAGGGAGAATAAAAAATAAGAAAAATGAATAAACAAGAAAACATAAATCCTGAATAGATTTTAAAAATGCTGATTATACCACAAGTAATGAATACCACTGATGCCTTTTATTTAAAACGGACTTGCTCGTGTGTAATTTGGTTATTCCACATTCAGTGTTAATGCAGAAATATGTTCGTTTCCAAATTTAAAGGTTCAAAATTGCATACATGTTGATAAAGAAAATGTGCAAATTTGCCGTCACTTTTTCAAAAAATATTAAGTTTGGCCCTCGACTCTGTCCCAGAGTTTCATTTCGGCCCCGTGTGAGTTTGAGTTTGACTCCCCTGGACTAAAGTGAGATCGATTACTACTAAAGCCCGAGTCATGCTTCTCCGTCTGCGTCAGTGCGGAGACACTAGTGTGTTTTTTTGGAGAAGCCAAAAGTTCAAAGACTGAGAGACAGAGGTCATGAAAGCAGATGTGTAGAGGTTTATGGATGAGGATGTCAGACCATCAGAGGAATGAGGAGATGGGTCTGGGAGGAAATAAGTGAAATTGAGGATTAAGTATGGCAGCAGAGGAGGAGAAGCTGCACTGGTGAGCTGGTAGAACAGGCGTGAGCGATGAACTGAAGACAATGAAAACAGAGCGAGAAAATGATAAATGAAGAAGGACAACAGGGTAAGTATCCAAAACTCTTACTGGGGCCTGTATTTTAAATGTGTCGTGTTAATACTATCAGACATTAGCATAAAGAGTGACATGAAGCCTTTTTACATCTTTGGAGGTTATAAAATTAAAACTATTGAGAATAATAACCACTTATGGCAACAACAGTTATTAATTAACTGGTGCCTTCCTTCAGCATTTAAGCGAACAGTAGGGGCCGTCACACACTTACCACTGAAGACATAATCCACCGGTGTTCAAGGCCGCTTACATGAGGAAATGTCACGTTGAAGTTAGCCAAACCTCTGGAACCCCACCCATCCAGCCTTCCGTAGAACACCACCCAGCCCACGCCGAATTTATCTGAAATTTCAAGCTGCAGCACATTAAAACTCTTCCTGGGATGACATCATCGTGGAACGAAGTGCTCCTAAAAGCGTCCTCACCGACTGCCGGACTTGGCTTTTTGCTTCCTTTTTGCAAAAGTTTAGGAATGCAGGAAATTGAAGATTTGTGTGTGTTTTCCATCCTACTGTGAAAATAGGGCATGTGACAGGTTCGGGTTTTATGACGTCCTCCTGAGTTTGGTGTAGGTGGACCTCAAGAGCCTCCAGACCAGGTGCCAGGGTCAGTTCAGGGGGCAGCGGCAGGGAGTGAGAGTTCCTTTTAAGGGAAAGGCAGGCTTTCACCAGGGGAAGCAGATTTTCTCATCTGCTCCCTGCAAGTGTGCCCCCCTACACACACACACACACACACACAAGCTTTGCTATTCCAATCAGTCAGTCCCAACGTCTGCTGTGCTCCCTGCCATGAAGGAGCGGCAGGTTTTATCGTCTGCTCCTACACGACCGCTGCACACTTGTCACGCCACAGCAGCTGCTCAGAGGTTTAAGGACCAGCGTCCTGAAGTCCTTCTGCTCCATTCAGCTGCAGGGCGAGCTGGAGGAAGAGCCTCCCTCACTCCTGATCGAGCGCTCAGCTCTCAAAGTTTTTAAGCCACTTCTTTTTTTGGTGATTTTTGTGCTTGGAAGGAGCCCAGCACCTTCAGGCTGAACCTGTTGGTCTGAACTTTAAAGTCGAGGTAAGGGAGTGCGTGCGTGCGTGCGTGCGTGCGTGTGTGTGACTGAGCCTAGGACATTACCTCATGGAGGATAGGCGGTGATTGAAGAGGTCTAACAGAGGTCTCTGCCTTTGACTCCATTACCTTCAGGCTCTTATCAGGACAGCTCTTCTGTTCGGGTTCAGAGGACAAGTTTTGACAGCCAGGCTTCTCAACACCCCCCACCCCCTCTCCGCTCTGTCGCTCCTGACAGAGGGAAGGAAAGGCAGCGTGAAGAGGTGGTGACTTCATCCTTTCTACCCAACCCTCTTCTCTCTCCTCCCTCCTTTTCCAAGCTTGCTTCCCCCCTCCAATATTTGTTTCACAGCACAGCGAGGCAGCATGCCAGCAGTTTTCATCCTGCTGCGGTCCCTGGTTATCAGGCTCCTCAGTAGCAGACTGGCAGGCTCCCTGGCACAGTTCCTCAGAAGAAGCCTCACCACGGGCGCTGCCCACCTTGGCACGGCGTTGCGGCACATCTGGGAGCGCGTCCGATCCCAGGAGTCAAAGGAAGCCGTCCTGGGCTGTGTGCTGTGCATTCTTAACATGCACAAGAAGGTGGAGAACTGATCTCTGTTCCACCTTCCTGTCATCCGGACAGAACCTGGACGGCTGTTAGGGGAAAAGAAGGGATGTGACGGACTTTTCTTGTGATATTTTGACTCTGGTGTTTTGTTTTTTTACTTCTGGACATGTCTGAGAGCATTGTGAGGAAAGTGCAGCCCTTCACCATCGGGACAAGGCTGTCGGTCCCTTCTGTGACTAAATGTCAGGAGTTTCAAAGGAGATTTCTACCCACCGAGCCTCTGGACAATCGTGTCTTACAGCACAATCTGAACTCGCTCTACCTCCATCGGTCCCGGGTCCGAGCACATGGCTCCTGTCTCGTTGCACCGTTTGTGAAGCCGGAAGCGCACGTTCAACGCAACCACGAGCACATGGCAGCTGAGGACCACCAGAACCAGAACGTGGCCTCTCCTTCTGCCGTCTCCAGGTCCATCAAGAAGATCACCATCTCTGGGAGTAAAGACCGATCAGACAAGAAGAGCACAGTGGGCCCAACAGACCTGTCAACAACAGCTGAAAACAAAAACAACAACAACAACAACACAACAGGCTCACCAGACCCACATCTGCCCAGGATTGTTGGAGTGAGGTGTGAGAATAAACCGACCTCTCAGTTTAAGGTATGGAATGCTTTCATGCTGTTTTGTTTTATTTTATTGGTAAAATTAATATTTCTACTGATGTTTTTACGGTTTTATTTCAACAAATTTAACTCAGATTTGCCCCATTTTACCCCAAAGATGATGCCAAAACGTGAATGAGCAAAGAAATGGATGGAAGATATTTTTTCGTTTTCATTTTCAACGTAAAAAATATGAATATTCTTGTTGAACAAAATTACTAATAGACTGAAAAGGGTTTAGTTGTTTTATGACCATTTTAAGAGTGGAGATGTTTGGTACTTGCATATTTATGGAAGCCCATTCCTGCCAGTCTGATTAAAAAAATGATCATTTCTCATAATTATAGTATCAGAAACTCTCTTAATTATGATTTGGCCATTTCATAATTATGAGATGCTAGAACACAACTATTACTTAGTTAAGTCATAATACTGAGATGGTGTTTCGTAATTATGAGATACTATCTCATTGTCATGGGATAGCTAAATCATAATTATTAGTTTTTTTAATCCAGTTCCAATCCAGTTTTATTTATAAAGCACTTTAAAAGACCCAGCACAGGAACAAAGTGCTGTACAGAAAATACATTAAAACAATTGACTAAACAGAAAACAGCAAAGATAAATAAAACACATGATACATAAAATTAAAATAGCCCTATATTAAAAAATAAAAACTTGATAAAACCGCATTGAATCAAATAAAACAGCTAAAATGAAATAAAAATAGAAACCAGCATCTCACAAGGTATCAAAAGCCAGTGTAAAGAGGTGGGTTTTCAGGAGTGCCTTAAAAACAGATAACAGATTTTATCAGAGTGGCGGGAATCGGCTTCCATACATTTTCAACGTTTTTGCTCAATTTCCAATTTAACTCGAGCTTTGGGTTTTTTAAATTTATTTGACAGGTTTTGCTCAGTAAAAGCAGCTGTGCCGCCATTCCTCAAGGAGAAACTTGGGCAAAGCCAAATGGGGAGAAATCCTTCCAGGTAAGATAAGAAATGTTTTTTAGGGTTGTTTTTCCATAAGAAGATTTTGGAAATTTGCAAAATTCCCACTTGTGGGGCTAAAGTCTTATCTTATCTTATCTTATCTTATCTTATCTTATCTAAATGTATCTTTTTTTAATCACATAATGAGGTGATTTCTCCTCTCAGAATGTATTACATAAACCATGGAAATCAGGGAAAAAGGATGGTTGGTCATTATTTAAAACCACTGAGATGTTGAGTTTGTCCAGGGTAAACTGTGTTGGTGATGAAATTTACAAAAAGGTAGGACCCCCCCCTTACTATTGTCAACAATAATGTTCTCTCCTCAAGGTCCATCCTTATCGTCCTGCAGGATTCTTCATGCCTTTGAATAAGGAACATTCGCAGCTCGGATTAGGTGCTAAATCAAAGAATGATTTCCTGAATTAAATATGAACTTCTACAACTTATAAACTAGATTATCATTAAATAAACATTTGTTTATTGCTACTTATAATAATTATAGTATAATGACATGTTTTCATTAATCTGTGCTCAATGATTGAAGTTTAAAATGAATGTTATGTTATGATTACAGTGATTGATATATGTTTCAGCATGTTGATATGACGAGGTCATCAGCATTTGCATTCACACAAGGACAAAGTAAGGTTAACTTAAACTCATGACACATAAATAGTCCTTTACCCAGATCAGAGCACCCGGTATCTGAAAGAAGGTGTGTTTCTGAGTTGTCTTGGTAATATTCCTCAAACTTGTCAACCTCTGGTTGGCTACACAAATCATAACATGAGGACATTGAAACTGGATCACTCTGGTGATTCATCAGTTCTTGAGAAAGCTTCAGACCGGCCATCTGAAGCAAAACCTCTTTAACCATCAAAGCTTTTGACACGGCGTCTAACTCTTTGTTGCACCTGTGAAGCTGAAACAGCAACAGTTCCTGCAGAACAAGCTGATATTGTTCTGACTCCTTAAGAGTCCGCCAGACGCGCGGTTCCATCCGTCTGTCGTGACCCGAGACATCTCTGGACTGAAGCGTCGGTACTTCGGTATTTTACAGCCCTCCGGTGCCAGAGGTCATCCGACCTCTCTGACCTTCGGATCCACCAAGAGGGTCTCCGAGAACGGGTGAAGGAGACACACAGATAGCGTCTGATGTGTTTTTGATAATAATCAACTTCATAGCTTAACGCGAACCAAATTCTTTTACTTCCAGAACTCGGCTCTCTTAGATACGGAAGTCCTGATAACATCTCATTCACACACAGGTTCATGCATCACATCTAGTTCCATCCATCACAGTAAATGTTAGTTAACCTGTCATGTTTTAATTATTGGTAAAATAAATTCTTACTTTTATAAACCTGACTCTTTCCTGAATCATACCGAAGTGTGTACAATCCCTGAATAAACAAAGAATCCTAGAATCTTCTGATAAACACCGTAAAGACCAAGCAGGGTCGATATTCTATATTTAGACAGAGTATCACAGCTTATTGGTCATAAGTAGAGGTAATATACATATTGAGCTCTTAAAGCACTACTTTACCAAACCCTACGCTGAAGAGAGAGCAGGAATGTTTGTGCATTAGATTCATTTCATTTTGCACACTGCTGACGGTGGCTGGGTGTCCTGAAACACCTTGGAGCCAACCTGGAGCGAGTACATAATCAGAGTCTTTGTGATTATGGAAGTTTGAAGGCTTTTTGTGAGGTGGGGACAGCTTTACTGCGTGGGGAATGGTCCCATGACTCTCCGTTTTTATCATATTAAAGAATGTCTTCATTGATTTCACAGATTTCAGTGCCTGAGCTGCAGAATCACAGACCCCGGAGGACAGAAAGTCACCCACACAGCGAGGATGAGGCTCCGGCAGCTGCTAACGCTCTGAGCGACAGCTTCACTCAGCAAAACTCGCTCTTCAACAAAGAAGCACTGCAGGTGGAAATTTTTTTCCTCTTAAAATTTTTATTTGAAGATTTAATTTTTAAACATTTATCCAGAACTTACTGAGAAATTTTGAAAGCATTTCAAAATAAAAACATTTAGTGTGAAAAGAGCCTCTTAAAAGGATTTAATCCCTCAAACATCGTGTGAGGCTACTGCGATCCAATCAGAAGCAAAGCTGGCTGTCGCGTGACCTTCCAGTGGGAACAAAATGTGTACTGGTTCTTATTTTCGTCTCTGAGCTGTGAGCGGGATTCGGCTGAGGCAGGAGAGGGAGGGGAAGCCGCCACGACCAGTTATTTAGGGATGAGATCATTGTTTGGCTCCATCTCTTCACGCCTATGGCTCAGAGAAACTCAGCCAATGAGCAGCAGGACTGGTTGTGTTATCGCATCGCAGCGTCCACTCCTGCTCAGGCAGCTAGCTGCAGCATTCGGGTTCGTCATCAGGACTCTGCCGAGCAACCGTGCGAGCGACGTGCCGTTTACTTCTAAACACAAGAGTTTATTTTAATGTGTCAGCAGGAGGAACGTGTGGTGTGTGTTTTCTTTTGAATCATTTGACTTTGCATCAACCTGGTTGGCAGCTTCTGCAGATAAACTGTATTTTTACCGTCTTCCAGCCAGACGGATCAAGCTGTAGCGGTGCAGCATGTCTGTTTCAGTTCTGCAAAGTTTCTCGCTTTCCCCCCGTTTCACCCTCATGGCAGAAAAAATACCAAACCCTTAACTCCCAATGTGTGTTCGAAGCCAAAGTTGCATATTTGAGATGCCGTAAAACGTGCAAAATGATGGATTTATTCAAAATGTGGAGATTAGCACACCCGAATATCTGAAATTGTTGCGTTTGGAGATTTTCTCCTGGTGCTGTCCAAAGCAGCTCAGGAAGAAACCTTCAGATGGTGCACCGGCCGCGTGGCGTCGTGGCCTGAACGAGGCTTAACTGTACAGCCTGATAAACAGACCGTTGTTGTGGAAAGTGGACAGGAAGAAACAAGAGAATCATGGACTTCCTGCATGAGGTCATTGTGTTGGCATGGGAGCCGTTGTGAGCAGATACGAGCAAGCTTGTTTTGTCGAGCTCCTTTCCTTCTGTTCAAGCCAGAAATACTTCTCCTGCCTGGGGGGCTTTGGGAGGTCACTGACCTTCTCCTTGTGGGGAAAAGTGACGTCATATTTTAATCAAGAGCTAAACTCTGTGGTGGAAGTGTGCACTCTTGAGCCTCTCTGCGTCTCATTCGATGACTTATTTGTGTTTTTAACTTAAAGTGCTGCAGTCGCCTCAGTTTTAGCTGACTTCATCACCCGTTTCACTCATGTGGACTCAGTCTGACAGCATTTATCAGCCCATCTAGTTTTTGACACCTCGGAGGCTCGATGACCTCCACTCTGAAGAAGAACACTTTCCTCTTCAGCCGCCTGGTTTGGCGTTCCTCGTCCGTACGGTGCAATGCCAGGAGAGGCAGCTTTGTAAGGCTGAGCGTTATGCAACTGAGTCTGAGCTAAAGCCAAGAGAAACTCTGCTCAGCATGACACGACGCTGGAGAGCAAAAACCTTTCATCGAGACTCTGAACAGGGGACTAATGGAGTCTGCTGGATAAGAAGAGAAGCAATCACAAGCGTTTGTTGTGAATTTGCTGTTTAGAGATTCTGCTAGGACCAAATGCAGGACCGTGCCAACAGTTAAGAAATATAAGAAGTAATGACCATTTTAACATTTTGTCCCTCTTGCTATTTTAACAGCTAAAGTTAATATTTAATATCTATAAATATAGACTTTTGCCACCTATATTTAGCCAAATTAAGAATTTAGCAGCATTTTTTCATGTTTAATTTTAATTTTAAACACCAAATTTTGCCATCTTTGGAAATTAACAGCACTTTTGCTTTAATTAAACAGCCATCAAGTGAGACTGCATTTCCCCAGCTAGTTAGCCACTTTTTGCCTTTTTTCTGGGTAAACTTTGGCATGGGCTGCACAGTGGTGCAGTGGTTAGAGCTGGTCTTGCAGCAAGAAGGTCCTGGGTTCGATTCCCAGCCTGGGATCTTTCTGCATGGAGTTAGCATGTTCTCCCTGTGCATGCGTGGGTTCTCTCCGGGTTCTCCGGCTTCCTCCCACCGTCCAAAAACATGACTGTTAGGTTGATTGGTCTGTCTAAATTGTGTGTGTGTGTGCATGAATGTTTGTCCTGTGTGTCTCTGTGTTGTCCTGCGATGGACTGGCTCTCTGTCCAGGGTGTACCCCGCCTGATTGCCCGTTGACTGCTGGAGATAGGCACCAGCCCCCCTGCGTGAACAAAGCGGGTTCAGAAAATGGATGGATGGATAAACTTTGGCATATTTAACAATTCAACAGTTGCATGTTGCCATATTTGACATTTCAAACACAAAAATTTGCCATATTTGAAATTTAACAGCACTTTTGTTCTATTTGAGATGCAATTTGGTCAAAGGCGGCGTTACCAGCTACAAATATCTACAAACTGTGGCTAACTGTAGGCGACAACTAGCCACATTTAGAATCTTAACACCCATGGATGTAATTTTCACTTTAGAAGTGGGGGGGGGACACGGGGGGTGGGGGGGGGGGGGTATCTTTACAGTATGTTCTAATGGGAAACAGGCTTCAACACAAACGGTTGTTTTCCGCTTGGTCCTAGAGCTCAACCAGTGTCAATTTAATATAGCGTAATATTGTTTTTGGATGGTAAAAAGTGCAGGGGTCAAAACTTGACTTTGGAAAAAGTGGGGGGGACATGTCCCCCCTGTACCCCCCCCCCCAAAATTACGTCCATGTTAACACCAAACACGTTTGCTATAGTTAGCACCTCACAACAATAAACAGTGTGTGTGTGCGTGTGTGCGTGTGCGTGTGTGTGTGTGTGTGTGTGTGTGTGTATGTGTGTGTGTGTGTGTGTGTGTGTGTGTGTGTGTGTGTGTGTGTGTGTGTGTGTGTGTGTGTGTGTGTGTATGTGTGTGTGTGTGTGTATGTGTGTGTGTGTGTGTGTGTGTGTGTGTATGTGTGTGTGTGTGTGTATGTGTGTGTGTGTGTGTGTGTGTGTGTGTGTGTGTGTGTGTGTGTGTATGTGTGTGTGTGTGTGTGTGTGTGTGTGTATGCAGGCAGAGGCATGGATCAAGAGCAAACTCCAGGATCTAAAGGATGGCTGTAACACTGAGTGCTGCCCCCTGCAGGACTGGGACGAGGCCTCTCAGACACTTCAAAGGGACCTGAAAGACTTTGAGAACACGTTTATTCAGCTCAACCAGGTAAAAAATGATCATCAGCATCTAGAAGGACTAAATAAATGGTTGTTTTAAGTGTCCCCACAGGTGATCTAATCCAGGCATTAATCGCTGAAAACGTGACGACAAACATGAAACGACGGGTCATGGATTACCACCCTCTACATCCAGGCCCTGCGGAAGCTCAGAGGGTTGCGTTTAGGCTTTTTCAGGACAAACCATGAAGATAATGTTGTCAGCGTTGCTGCTGCAGCTCCAGTAACCAGTACCATGTCCTTCCACAGATGGGCGAGCAGCTGATCTGCAGGCTGAACCCCACATCTGACCTTGTGAAGAAGCAGCTCAGCCAGCTCAAGGACCAATGGCAGACCCTGAAACAGACGGCCACCAATCAGACGCGTGCTTTAGGTGGAGCAAAGAGTCTGCGGGATTTCAACAGAAAAGCGGATAAGCTGGAGGCCTGGGTCAAAGAAAAGGTGAAAACAAAGCAGACTTCCTGTTTTCCTGTTTTTATCGTTTCTGATCCAATGTGCTCATTCCTTCCTTATCTCAGCATCTTTTCCCTTATCCCTCCCATTTATAGAGGTGATTTAACAAGTGGCTAAACCCAAAGCGTTTTGCCCAGAGGCTGATCTTTGTCTACACAGCCTAATCAACAGCTGTCAAGATAATTAGCATAAAAGCACAACTCACTAATGCAGGAAATTAGCTCAGCGTCCTGGAGACGTTTGTGTTATGGGTAAAACATCTGCCTGTCATTATATAAAAAATAAATTATCTCGAGGATTTGGGGCTGATTTCTGTCTTTGTTCTTACTTGAGTCTGGCCAAAGGAGCGAGCGGTGGATGTTGAACCGGTGGGATTTTTTTATTTAAAGCAATAAAACGTTCCTAAACTTTACAGCTTGTCCCCGTTGTGTTGAAGCGAAGAGCTCTGTTCAGTGTTGTTTCTGTAGCAGGGGTGCTGTGCCTTTGTCCTTGTTCCTGTAAAACAAAGCAATTGTCAGGTTTCTCACAAAAGGCGGCCGTAAAAAACGGCCGTTATGTGTGTCGGCAGGAAGAGGAGCAGTCTCTGGTGAGTGTCCTGGGAGAAAACGTGGACAAGATGCAGCTGACCAGGAAGATCCTGGATCTTAAACAGGTGAGCACTACGAAGACGTGATTATATAAGAAGCGTAAAGAGAACCAAGATCTGCTCAGTCGCTCGTTTGGGGTTGCCATGGTAACAAATGCAGGCAGCCTAGAACAAAGAGCAGAGCCTCAAACAAATAATAAGAAAATTAGAAAATCCTGAACAGGAAAGAATTGTCCGTTGCACGTGTCAATGTTTGTGTCAGTAAGGTTTCATGGTGCAGGTGGGACAATTTAAAAAACAGGAAGAGAAAAGTCAGAGTTAGAATATGACGGGAACCCACTCAGTGGCGTGTCCAGATCTTTTAAAATGGGGTGGCCCAGGTGAGGCCCAATTTTGTGCATGGGTGGCTCCAATGGTTATGCTTTTTTGTTTTACCCCCAAGCCTTTTGTGGACAATGAAAAGCCTATTTAAAGATAAATTAGTGTGGTGGCACCTGGGGTGGCCAGTCAGATTCCAAGGGTGGCATGTGCTACCCCAGGCCACTCCCTGGACACGCCCCTGACTCCACTGGTGTTCGGGGATGGCGCGCTGCAGGGATGTGAGATAAAACTGTCCCTGACACACTGAAGAAGAGATGTTGAATCTCCAACCGGATACTGGAACGCGATTGTCTAAATGTCAAAATGCCAAATAAAGTCAAACCTTTTGGGATTGGTTTAGACTTTGGATGGTGTTTGTGCATCACTGTTTTAGATCGGATCAGATTTCATGCTTTTAACACTTTGATCAGGACGAGCAGCTACACAGGAACCTGCACGAGGAGATCAACAGCTTGGCTCTAAAACTGGAGAAACAAGGAAAGGCAGAGGGCAGAAACACCTCGAGCAGGAGGAAACACATCAACAAGATGTACGTTTCCTTCTTAAATGTGACGTTTCATGAATGACACGTTTTCTGCTTGAAAATCAAATGTTAATGCCGTTTGTGTAGGTGGCTTCGGGTCCAGTCCAGGCTGAAAAACTACCACGAAACTCTTCAGCAGGCTCTTGAGGTGTCATCGTTTTACCAGCAGGCAGATAATACCTTGGAGATTATTAATAAATTGGTAAAACGGCAGAAATTCCAAATGCATATTTTTAACTTTTGAGATAATTCCAATGAATGCTTAGATTTTTTTTTTTCTTTCTGTCAGCTGAAGAACATTTCTGCATCCAAAGAGCCGGATGGCTTCGGTGACAGAGATATACGCGACGTCGCCAGTCAGATCATGGTAAGAATCATCTTTTAACTATCAGGAGATGAGCTGCTAAACTGCCTAACCTACAGGTCTGTGTGTGTGTGTGTGTGTGTGTGTGTGTGTGTGTGTGTGTGTGTGTGTGTGTGTGTGTGTGTTAGATGCTGGACGTGAGTGTGTCCCAGCTGTCCAGTCTCCACCCTGACCTGGTGACCAGTGTTGGACAAAAGCAGACAGAGATAAAGGACAGCTGGGCTCTTCTTCAGAGAAACTTAAGGTATGGCAGCATCATAAAAATTATGTTCTTTATCATTAATAATTTACTGATTCACTGCATTGATAAATCATAGAGGAAATATTCCTAATTAAAATAAGGTCTGTCGCCTTCTTTTCTTCTTTTAAAGAGCTGTTAACACTATTGCTTTCAAACTGGTTTCAGTGATTCTTGAGCTATAACCTTAACTTAAGGTCCTTAAAGAGCAAGTCACCACCAAATCAACAGTTTTTTGCTGCTAAACTACATAAATGAGTGTCTGATCATGCTGTAGACACATGTAGTCAATAATTTGGCACTTTAGTGCATCTTAGTTAGAATTTAAATATTCTATCTAAAACTGGCAATATTGTGCCCACTTCAGATAAAAACTCTGCACTGCATTTGAATTTAAATCTGTCATTGCTAATGGCTAATAAGTATCATATGACGTCGGCTGGTACCATATGATGTCACAATGTCATTGTGAGCCTGTATTTGTGTGTATTTGCTCGCAGCTCCGCCCTCTCGGTCTGCAAGGCAACAGCATTTGTTGCGTTTTTCAAACAGGAAGTGGGGTGGAGTAAGATTCTGGTAGGGGGTGGCTTGCTCTTTAAACACCTTCACACTGGACAGCACTCTGTCACCCTCTTCTGGTCAGAAACTGTACTAAACAACCTTGTAGTTCTGGAACGCATGAGTGAGAGGTCACGCGACAGTGGAAGTGTACTTTACTGTGCTGGTGGCTCATAGAAATGCTAGCAGCTAGATTTTTTCTATTTGCCAACCTTCAATAAAAAGCACAAGAAAGTGAAGTCTGTTTTTTGTTGGCATCATGGCGGAGCCTGGAAGTAAAAGCAAAACAGTAATATGTTTAGAGGTGAATCAAAGACAGCCTGAACTAGAAAATCAAAGAGCTATAACCGGAGTAATCATTGCTGCAGTAGCTGAGCGTAGGCCGCTGCAGGGTTGTCTTCAACAGTTAAAGTGACAGTGTGTTCTTTTCCTGCCAATAGGGGGCAATAGATATGTAAATCGTTGCAAGCAGGCTGTATTTTTGTGTTGGGTTAAAACCTTATCAATGGATGCCCATTAGGGTCAAAAAGCCCTGGGGAGTGCAAACTTCAGCAAAATGACGAGCATATCAGACTCCCTTTAATCACTGGCAACAAGTGAAGAGGTAAATGTGTAAAACAACAATGTTTTTGAATGGTGACATTTTGTACCCGTTTGTAACAAATCAGTAAATGCATTTTGTCCTCAAGGGCTCCTGTAGAAGGAAACATGGCATCTAATATGTCGTCACCCAGAGATTTAGCGTGTTTCTCAATGTCAAGACGCCTGGCCTTTGGAGGCGATGTCTTGCGAGGCCAAGCCCCTTACTTACAAGGACATTGTCCTTCCTTGGTCAAAGAAAACGGTTAAATGGAACAGACTTGCATCACGTGACCACGGCTTCCATGGCGGTCACGTAACGTAACGTGACACGGGAGATAACGTTATATTTTATACTCCGCTCGGAGAACTTCATGCTCCTCTCGGTCCCAAGAACGCGCCTAAAGACGCGTGGTGATAGGGCTTTTGCTGTGGCAGGTCCTAAGCTTTGGAATAAGATTCCTCTCAGCATAAGGGCCTCCACCTCTGTTGCGGTTTTTAAGGCAAGGCTAAAAACATATTTTTATGACCTGTCTTTTAACCTTTCTAACGTAGCGCCTTGGTGGCATCTTTTTGCCTGTAAGGCGCGATTTATAAATAAAGTTGAGTTGAGTTGAGTATTAGTTTCAATATAGATATAGAACAAGCTTTTTACTTTTTACACTAAATTGTGTATATGTTTATTAAATTAAATATATAAGCGAGTTACTACCCGCTAGACACTGAAGCTCCAACTAATAAGCAAATAACCAACCATAGCTAAATTCTTTGGATCTAAAAAAACTTTTTAAATGAGTTGTCTTACTTTTAAACTTGAAAATTGTCCCCAGAGTAGCTGCCGGCTTCTGATTTGCCATCCTTTTGAAAATACTGTGATGTATTCGGGGAAATGTTTGACCAAGGCTAGGCTACAAGACACCTCCCGTGTATCCTTGCTCAGCTAGCTAAACGGCTAGCAAACGGAGAACAGATGCCTCGGTAGAACATGAACACTGGAACATGTCTTGGTGGCTCCTGATGACGTATCTCCTAGGCTACCGGGGCGGAGCCAAGACAACAAAGCAAGGTTCCTTGGCCTTGAGAAACACCCCTAGACCCGCTCCCATGTGTTTTAGACCTGATTTTTATGGATATATGTTATAAAACCGCCAATATTTTTCAATGATTGAGCATTATACATTTTCAACAACAATTTGATTGATATTTACAGAGACTAACAGTAAAAACTACACATTGTCACTTTAACTCATTCACTGCCAGCCGTTTCCTGATCGCTTAAGGCCTTCGCTGCCAGCGTTTTTACTGTTTTGTTAAGAGTGACGGAACGTTTCGCGCTAGCATGATGTCGATGCCAGATTAACCAAAACAAAGAGGAGACTCACCTCTTACATCAGGAAGAATCCGCGCGTTTCAAGCGTTATCCGTTCTTTCATAATCCGTTGTTGAATTGTGATCGGCAGACCCATTTTCCCGGTTCGTGCCTCACTTTTTTTTACAGGAGCGGCCCAAAACGATCTCCTATCACATGGATGTTCTGCTTCCTGATCATGTGACGTATGTGGATGAAGATCGGCTTTAGAACTGAGATGTTTGTTCTCTCGGCGCGGGGGCTCGTTACGATGCCCACACAGTAAAAAATATGAAAATGACGACTTTAGTCATCATGTTGTAAATTTTGCAACAGTTGTTATTCACCTTTCAACCAGTAGGGTGGAGAAGAGAGAAACTTACATTAAAAGACTACTTAAGGCACTGGAAATCGGGGGAATCAAACCCCACTTTGATAAAGGCTCAGTTTTTGTTTTGTTTTTTATTGGGGGGGGGGGGGGGGGGGTGACTTTAATTTTCTAAACATTGAATTCAAACGTAGATTCCTGTAAGTGATTTATATTCTGGCAGCGTCTCAAGCTGTCATCATGGTCTGCTTCATTCTCACCAATAAAAGTCTGACATCATCTTAAATAGTCCGCTGAATGTGAGAAATACGACGTTTACAAGAATATTTTGCAACTTTTATGGAATTTTTCTAACTATTTGTTGTTGTTTTAATAGTGTGCTGTTAGTACTCAGACTCGTCAATCACCGTTTGCTTTTAGGCCATCAGAACCAGCTTAGTGCAGCCATGTTTAGTTGCTGTTTAAAATTCAGCCAAACTGTAATAGAGCATGCTGGAGCTCGCTACAGTAGAGACGTTTGCTCACTGGCCACTTTATTAGGTGCACCGTGTTAAAGAGCATGGTAAGACAAAGATCTAATCAGCCAATCACAGTCAGTCAAGTCAGAAATTCACACACGGAGAAGATGATCTGCTGAAGTTCAAACCGACTGAAGAGTCTTTGAATTTGGCATGGTTGTTGCTGCTAGTTTGGGGATTTCAGAAACTGCTGACCTACTGGGATTTTCACCCTCAACCAGACTGAAAACACACACACACCAAGCAGCAGTTGTGTGAATGAAAATATCTCGTTATGTGAGAGGTCAGGGGAGAATGGTCAGTCTGCTTTGTTGCTGATAGCGTCCACGGCCGGATTAACCATATGGGAAACTGGGCAATTGCCCAGGGCCCACGAACTTGGAGCAGCAAGGGCACGAGCAAAAGCACAGCGCTGATCGTTGTTGCGCAGCGATCCAGGCTGCTGCGTCCAGCGCACGGTCCATACTCAAAGTGGCGCAACCAAAAAACTAATTAGCACACGATCGTTCATGTCCGCACATGTTCTCTATCTTCTGTCTTATTTGTGCCTGAAGCGCTCTGCTGCTGCGGAGCTCATCACCTGTGCTGCGGTGATGTCACCTCACTGACGCAGCATCGAAACGCGCTCCGCTTTGCGGTCAGGAGATCCCTTTGATCTGCTCAGAAGTAACTGATGAGGTGAAAAAGTAAGAATCCAGGCAGCAGATTTTCTGGAGAGTTTAGAGCAGATGCAGGAAGATGAGAGACAGACAGGACAGGAAATAGTTCAATAAAAACAAGAAAACAAAACAAAGTGTTGAAAAGTAAAATGTACGTAGATTTATCTCCACTACACGTTTTTACCTGCAAAACAATAAGTTATACACATGTAATATTTATACATCTGATACTATTCAGATCACCTTCAACACTCAGTCACACACCCAGGGCCGTTTCAAGACATTTTTGGGGGCCAAGGCAAAATGACCCCCCACCCCCACCACCACCACCACTCACCCCCCCATAGCTGGGCTCCCCAGAAGCCTCTGTGTAATCCATGCCCTCTCCAGTAGTGTTAGTTATACAGTGTTTATAAAAGCCCCTCAGACATTACTGACATGTTCTAATATTATCAGATGAAAAACTAAATTATCAGACATGCTGTCTCATCTGCTGCTTTTCTAAACTTGCTAAAAGTAACAAAACCATCTGAAAGCCACTTTTTGTGGATTCTCTGAAAGTTTCCATGGAGTGTGTGACAACTTATTTTTTCATTGATCCTATCGTCTAATCTCACAGCTGAAACAAGCATCCTTAATCATCTGTGCACAGGAAGCGTACCGATGCTGTAGTAAAACAAAAGGTATAATAATTTATTATTAATAAAACCTTGTTGCAGCACTAAAGCAGAAAAATTAGATTTTGCATTAAATATGCTAAATATTTACATATGAATTGTTTTAGAGCCCTTTTATTGGCAGAATCTGATATTAATTTAGTTCTTACAAAAAATGGGTCCCAACATGGTTTGTGTGGCGTTGCCATAGTGTGACATCATAGGCACAGATGCCCTGTCCTCTTGTTTGGAAATGGAAATATGGTCACCCTACATTAAACAAACTGTCCACCCGGGCTTTTGCGCTGCACAGAGACGCTTCGCTGCCTCTGACTGAACGTCAGTTGAGAGCCAGACTGACCAATGAAGAGAGGGCCTCAAGTTAAGACCCTCCCCTCATTGGTCAGTCCACACAAGGTGGGTCAAAGGTTACCCTGAGTGGGTTACGTGTTATCAGGCATTCAAGTATTGAGTATATTTACTGCATATTACAGTAAAATATTCTGTATGTGACCATAGTACAGTGATCCTTGGGTCATGATGATGGGGCCCTTGAATATTGTTGCCCAGGGTACAACAAAGTGTTAATCTGGCCCTGATAACGTCCATCCCTTTATGACTACATGGAGCCATCTTCTGATGGCTACCTCCAGCAGGATCATGCACCATGCCACAAAGATCATCTCTAAGTGGTTTCTGGAACTTAATCACAAGTTTACTGGACTCCAGATGCCTTCACAGTCACCAGATCTCAGTCCAGGTCAGAACCTTTGGGATGTGGTGGAACTGGAGGTTCTCATCATGGATGGAGCTGATGCTGTCGTGTCAGTATGGACCAGAACGTTGGAAGAACGTTTCCATCGACACCTTTAACCCTGTGACATGACTAAGGCAGTTCTGAAGGAAAAGGGGGCCCAGCCCTGTAAAAGCAAGGTGTACCTAATTAATTGGCTTTTGATTATAAATATGTATACCCTATGGTTACATAATATATCATAATTCCCATTACTCCAGAAAAATAAACTTCAAACAGCTCCTAATAATATATCTGGGTTACTCAAGTCCAGATTTCCATCTCCAAAATGTGCTGCCTCCTGAACATTTCTCAGGCTGAGAGCCTCCCATGTGGACGGGGTATCTTTAGATCCAAACATTACATCACTTCATCAGACTTATCAGAAACAGTTTGGAGCTATTTAAATCAAACAGTCCAAACACTGGTATAAAACCACAGAACCATAACTGGAGTTTTCTGCTGGTCTCTGGGGCCCTGCCGTCAGCACCGCAGTAACCTCCTTCTCCACTCCCTCCCCTACAGAGGTGACAAGGCAGCACTCTCTCCTTCTGGCTCCACTTTCACCAGGGAACACGCTGACCTCCTGACACCCACTCAAGCGTCCCAGAGCAACATGGGATCTGAGACACATGGGATCATGGGAAAGGAGGTGAAGGAGGAGCAGAATCGTCTGAAAGGCTGCACGGTGAGTGGCGTTGGTCTTTAATCTGTTGATCTGAAGGAGGAGTGCGTAACTCATATTTATTCACAAACCCGAACAAATGAGCTGCAGAGCTGTGGTTTTCATCAAAAGCATCAAATAATTCCTCTTTTTGAGGATTTGTTCGTAATGAATGCCTTTCTCTGAAACTCAAACACTGGAGCTGCATCGGCTCTTGAAGGAGACATTTTATGACTTTTTTCTTAAGTTATGGCGCTATGGTCGATACCAAACACGTTCATGAAGCTTTTTGCCCTACATCCCTCCGGTTTATTCTTGATCGTTTCAGTACCTTCCAGAATGAGCCGTTTTGCGGCTCTGTCACGTTTAACAAACAAGCTGGAGCTAGCCACGCCCACCCATCCCCCGCTCAGGCTGCTATAAACTTAGAAGCTCGGATACTCGGGAGGGGGTCAGTTTATAGCTACTGCACCTGCACCTATATATCACCTCTAAAATGGTAAGTGGTCTGTATTTGTATAGCGCCTTTCTAGGGTTCTACAACCCCCCAAAATGCTTCACAACACAATCAGTCATTCACCCATTCACACGCTGATGGGGATGTGCTACGATGTAGCCACAGCTGCCCTGGGACACACTGGCAAGGCTGCCAAACACTGGCGCCACCAGTCCCTCCGACCACCACCAGCAGGCAATTTTGGTTAAGTGCCTTGCCCAAGGACAGAACAGCAGCATTCTCTGGCCGGTGCCAGGATCGAACCTGCAACCTACCAATTACTGGACAACCCATTCTACCTTCTGAGCTACTGCTGTCCCATAAAGAATGTCTCAAGATAAAAATCACGAGAACAAAATAACTACAAGTAAAAAATAAATAAAAATTCATAAAATTGGAGGAAGTAAAAATTGAAATTCAAAAAATGGGAAAAGAAAAAGAAAGATAACACACTGCAGCTGGCCACGCCCACCTCTCCTCCACTCAGGCTGTTATGAGCCGAGAAGCCCCGATATGCGGGAGGGGCTCAGAGTAGCCCCGCTGCTCTTCCAGCAGCAGCTCTCTTATACATATGAGAGGTGGTCCTATTCTACTTTCTTTGTTTGTGACATCACAAACAGGGAATTTTTGAAACAGTCTGTTTTAGGCGCATTTTTCCTCAAATCGAACCCTGAGAAAAAAAAGGGTGTTTTTTCTTCGCGTTTGGAGTGTTTATAGAGGCAGTAGAGACCCACATGGCAAAGCAAAAGGACGCAAAAGGTGAGTTTTGCATAAAATGTCCCCTTTGCCTTGTTTTTGGTTTTCTTCTCCGTAACCTCAAAAGAACTCTATATTCCTCTTTAGGCATCACAGGAAGAGCTCTTCGGGGTATAGTTTATCCTGGCTCAGGACTCACACATGCTTCCATTGAAAATATCAAGTTATGCCCGTACAGAGTGGTTGAACGGTGGGCCAGGGTAATTAAATATTTCATTTTATTGCATAATAGAAAAGATATTGGCCTATAAATGTATTAATTTATGATTACTAAATAAACAAATATCCTGTGGTTCACTTTTGGCTAACTGAATAATCAGTAAAGCATGCGGACCATTTGTCATTCTGTAGGCAGCTGACCCTTTACTGAGCACGTGGTGCTTGTATAGTTCCTCCATTACTGCTCATAAACCTGAATGATTTTAGCTCATTTGGAAGGCAAAGTATCCAGAAAGTATGCGCCAGAGGTGTTACCAAGTCACTGCTTTGCAAGTTACAAGTAAATCACAAGTATTTCCAGTCAAGTCTTGAGTCAAGTCCAAGTCAAAGACAACCAAGTCCAAGTTGAGTCCAAAGTCAATGATGTGGAAGTCCAAGTAAAGTCCAAGTCCTTAACTTTAAAGTTTCAAGTCATAATCAAGTCATCTGCCCAACTTCAATTTAATGACAATGATAATAAATAAATTCTTGTATTAAAGCTTCATTTATTTGCTGAAACAAGCAGAAAGTGCAACTGAAACTGATTCTAAACAAAGTGCTGCTGCATCTAGCAGAACAAGATCAACCCCAGAACGAAGAATGATTTATGATTTTTGTCCATGTCGTGCCACTTTTGTGCTAAATTATCAAATATGCTCAAGTCATCATCAAGTCAACCGATGCAAGTCGATTGCAAGTCACTGAAGTTCGAGTCAAGTCGTAAGTCTTATAGATTTTATTAAGCCAAAATAATGACTCGAGTCTGACTCAAGTCATGTGACTCGAGTCCACACCTCTGGTATGCACTATGTTAAAAACCATTGATGATGTGTATATTTAGCCTTTAAGTTAGCACCTTGTATGGTTCTGTGAGCCCGCAGTGGCTATAAGACATTTCGGTCTCCTTGGCTTGGAGAAACTGTCCAATTATTTCAGAAGAGAAAATTTCATCATCTTACTTTGGTTCGGTTTTATTTCTCTGCTGGTGTTTCTGTCTCCTAGTGGCTCTGTGACGTCCGCACCTGTAACACCACTGAGACTGATTCTTCTTCTGTTCACGGATGCCGAGCTTGTTGGCATCGCTGTCCTGAGTTAAACTTTGTTGCACAAGGAGCTGAGAACTGCCTGGATGTGCAGTCTGTGGGATTTTTACGTGTTACTAGTTATGGAGAGGTTAAAAAAAATGTCGCCAAACAAAATGTGGAGCCCAGTGGCCAAATGGTGCCAAGCACAACCAACAGTTAGAAGAGCAAGAGCAGTCATTTTTTTCTTTTTCTACCACCCATCCATCCATCCATTTTCATGCACTTATCCGGAGTCGGGTCGCGGGGCAGTAGCCTAAGTTGACAGGCCCAGACTTCCCTCTGCCCAGCCACTTGGACCAGCTCCTCTGGGGAAATCCCAAGATGTTCCCTGGCCAGGTGAGAGACATAGTCCCTCCAATGTGTCCTGGGTCTACCTTTAGGTCTCCTCCCGGTTGGATGTGCCTGGAAAACCTCACCAGGGAGGCATCCTGACCAGACGCCCGAGCCACCTCAACCGGCTCCTCTCGATGTGGAGGAGCAGCGAATCTACTCCTACACTCTTTTTCTACCATTTTATTTATTTGCGTGTGCAACCACTTTGGCGCTTGTGTGATGTATGCATTTGCACTAAAGAGGTGTTCGTTAGCAAGAATCTGATACGACGCATATCACAAAACAGGAGTGACGATTTATTCAGATACTATAAGCCAGATATGTTCAACTAAATTTAATTAGAAAAATCAGGCGAGACACTTCCTAGACACATCCAGAATAAAGGTGGTAAAAACTGCTGCCACCTAGCAGAGGGAGTTTGAACTGCACAACACATAAAAAATATGACAAATGTTTCAATATGAATATTTAATTCACTGATTTTAAATATCAATTTCATATCGTAACAAGAAATATTGCAAGAATTCTGTGTTTACATATTTTCTTACATCCCTTATTTGCACACTTCTCTAACTATTTTTCTTACTGTCTGCTGTGATAAAAGAACGCTGTAGAGGTCACAGTGCCCATGCAACAGCCTGTAATCTCTACATGGTAAATGGCCTGTATTTGATACAGCTCCTTCTAGAGTCCTGGAACCCCCCAAAGCACTTTACAACACAATCAGTCATTCACCCATTCACACCCTGGTGGGGATGAGCTACGATGTAGCTACAGCTGCCCTGGGGAGCACTTACAGAGGCCAGGCTGCCGAGCACTGGCGCCACCGGTCCCTCCGACCACCACCAGCGGGTTAAGTGTCTCACCCAAGGACACGACAGCGAAAAACTGAGTGGGGCTTGAACCTGCAACCTTCCGATTACTGGGAGAGCACTTAACTCCTGTGCCACTGTCAGCCCAACATCAGTACCTTTGTGTTAGCAGTAGTGCAGAATCTTGTTTCTAGGGGCTGGCGCGGCAGTCTTCTGTTACTTTGGCTAATTGCAGCCAGATGTTGGAGCTGGACACCAGATGGGCTTGGTGCTAAGTGATAGTTCTTAGCTGACATCACTTGACAGCAGAACATAAAGAGACACACAAAAGAGGGAAAATCAGCAGATAAAAGTTAGAAAAGACATATTGGAAAGTAAAACAAAAAGGGACATGACTGTTTGTTTTTTTTACTTTGTAGTCAAGAAGATAAATAATCCTTTTTTAATTATTTAAATAGCATCAAATCCCAACAACTGTCATCTACTTATCAGTGCACTGAGTTCAGTTCATTATGCCACTTAGTTCAAAGTTTTCTGTAGAAGGAACACAGCAGGTTGTATCGAGTCACTGACTTGTGTCAGAGACTTTACAGCAATCCTCATACTAAGCAAGCATGCAGCCAAATTCATGTATTTTTTCTTCCCTGCTGAAAACCCAGCCATCATTATGCTCCAGAAACATGCCTTCATTTGACAACCCTGCTGAGGGGCCTTTGGCTGCCCTTTAAAGCGATCACGTGGTAGTAAAAGTAGCTTAGTGGCTGTTGACGTCTCTAATATATGTATTCCTGCACACACACAAGGTCCATAGCCAGGGTACTGACCTTACTAAAAACAGCTGCATAACCCTGGAAGAGCCAAAGAGGATAGGTATGGAAATCCCTGTCTAATGCTAAAAAAACACAGCTGCTTAAGTGAGCAGAGGAAATAAAATGGGGCTTTATTTCATGTATAGAAAAGTACCGTAGCATATGTTCAACTGCTGGTGTCTATGTGCCACCCATGATGGTTTTTAAAAGGATTCAACTTCTGGTGCCATATTTATTATTTCAGTTAACGATTTTTAACAGAAAACACACTTTAGTCCAGGGGTGTCAAACTCAAACTCACACGGGGCCGAAATAAAACTCTGGGATGGAGTCGAGGGCCAAACTTAATATTTTTTGAAAAGTTACAGCAAATTTGCACATTTTTTTTATCGACATGTATGCAATTCTGAACCTTTTAATTTGGAAACGAACATATTTCTGCATCAACACTGAATGTGGAATAACCAAATTACACACGAGCAAGTCAGTTTTAAATAAAAGGCATCAGTGGTATTCATTACTTGTGGAACATTCAGTATATTTAAAATCTATTCAGGATTTATGTTTTCTTGTTTATTCATTTTTCTTATTTTTCATCTCCTTTTTTCTCCTGTAATACGTGTCATCGCTGCTGTGACGTCTAGCTTTCCCCACTGAGGAACAATAAAGGGATTTTCTATTCTATTCATCTATCTGCAGCCTTTCCACTTCCTGTTTACTGTAGGTTAAGTCTTTTCTCACGGGCCAACAACAAAATAAAAATATCATTTTATCTTAAATGAAAATGCAACATCTCACCTGTTAACTTTCCTGTTTTGGAGCAGAAAAAGAGCATCAAACCAACATATTTAAAGCTCAGTTTGCTCCACTGGTTTACTGTGATGCTCACCTGTTCCAGCCAGATACCTGCATCATGGGGTTGATCTGAGCTGAGGAGGAGACTCCTGTTGTTTTGTTCATCTTCATCATAATAATGACGACATTAGATGACAACAGGTGCTCACATAGGTTTGTGCTGATGAACACGTCTGAGCAGCTTGACCACGTTGTTGTGTGTCGGGGAGGAAAAATAAAAACTACAGCAGCCACAGAGTCGTGCTGGTTTGAGCGTGTCGCTGCTCGCTGGAGTTACATCAGCTCTGTCTGGACGTTAGTTGGAAAACTTTCTCTTTCAGTCGTGAACACGTTACTGAGCGGCTAGAATCTCAGTTTCTGGGCTTCAACGTCAGAAAATAGCTGAGTGAACTCGGCGCTGAGTGAGAGGAGTGTTTAGTTTGTCCGAGACAGCGGAGCTGCAGACACCGGCAGCAGGCGCTTGAAAAAACACAAAGGAGGGGGCGCTTTGGCTCCACGTTAACGCCGCAAAGCATCATGGGAGTTGTAGTCTTTACGGTAAAATCGGCCAGCGGGCCAGTTTTAATATATTTTTGATATTTATCTCGCGGACCACATAAAAATGCTTCGCGGGCCAGCCTATTGTCTGACACATGTGCTTTAGGGTATTCTTGATGAACTCAGCAAACCTTTAAAACTATATTTTAAATTCATGCAGCCCTGTCACAAACAGAAGAAGGGAAATATGTTTGTGTTGACAAAGTTTAGGACTTTTATTTTGATTTCTGGAGGATTTGATGTTTACAGGGTACTGCTGACTGTGAGAGTGGAAGGCAAACTCAGAGCATCCAAGGCCAAGAGCAGCAACTGACGAACCACTCATTATCGCCAAAAAGAGATGGTTCATTCTGTGCAAATGATGCCATCAACGGACATCCACTGAAGGGAGAAAGGTGATTATTCAGGCTGAATTCACTATTTGTCTGCCATAGAATAAGTCATAATCCATAAGAAATGTGACAGAAATAACAAGTCGGTGGTTCCTTGTTGCAGAAAGCTGAAAGCAGAGCCCGAGCTTCCAACAGCTCCACGAGGCCACCAGCAGCTTCAGAAGTTCACTGTATCTGCTGACAAGGTGACCACAACTCTATCTGATATGAATATGTTATGTGCATACACATATATTAACTGGAGAATGGCACAAGTGTAAAAACTAATTTACGTGAGTGGTTGGGAAGAGGAGCTCCTCTTGGATGATGTTTTGGCACCATTCTCTTTTCATGGCAATCCTTCTCCTGGACGTTCCAATAAGTTGCAAAGTAGATTCATCTGAAAAGATAATTCCCCCCAGTCCTAAGCAGTAAAACCCCCGGACCTCTTGCAGAATATCATTCTGTCCCTGGTGCTTTTTCTTGGACAGGGGTGGCCTTTAATGCTCTTCTTGAAGCTAGACCCAAAAATCTTGTCAAAGTGTGTGCAGAGGAACTTTTCTTTACAGAGGGACTTTGCACTTCATCACAATTCATCTGATCAGTTTTAATGACATTCTGATGTATTATATAAATATTAGGTTCTTAGGTGACCAGTATGTTGCAGATTCTCAGTATTTATTCCAGTCAGATTTAGTAACTAGAAGGAGAAAGTGACATGTAGATGTTTCCTCTCAGTTTGGTGGATAAATTTAATGTATGGTGTTCTACCCTTTACTCATCTGTTGGTATTTCCTTCTTTGCCCTCACGTACTTCTCAGACTTTGTCCTGGCTCAAAGACAATGTCTCCATGGCAACACAGGTGTGCTCCATTGCCAACTTGGAAGGTTTGGAAGCAGCCAAGAGGCGTCAGCATGCTCTCGAACGGGAAATTCTCAACAACAGAGCCAGGATCGAGGTGGTCAAAAGGGTAAACCAAATCAAATATCCCTGACAGAAATTTTCCTGAAAAGAGGAATCTTAGCATGTCTTGTTTAAGTTTCGGTCCAAAAAAGGAGATTTTGCCAAGATTCACCAACATTTTACAATATGAAGTCTAGAAGTTCCTTGGTCTGAAACCTCTTCCACAGGAGGGCCATGGTCTGGTCCGCGCTCAGCACCCAGGCAGCGCCAAGATCGAGGAGTTTCTCAGCCAGTTGGAGGCCTTGTGGGAAGAGCTGAGAAGGAGGCACCAGAGGAATGCTGCATTCCTGCAGGCCTCAGAGAAGCTGGGCTTCAGGGTAATATTCATAAAGCATCTTTGACCAGATATACTCCCAGCTCAAACTGTTCTGAAGGAAATTCCTAGCTTTTGTGGACATGGACGTAATTTTGGGGGGGGGACAGGGGGGACATGTCCCCCCCACTTTTTCCAAAGTCAAGTTTTGACCCCTGCACTTTTTTACCATCCAAAAACAATATTACGCTATATTAAATTGACACTGGTTGAGCTCTAGGACCAAGCAGAAAACAACTGTTTGTGTTGAAGCCTGTTTCCTATTAGAGCATACTGTAAAGATACCCCCCACCCCGTGTCCCCCCCACTTCCAAAGTGAAAATTACGTCCATGTTTGTGGATTATTCCGCATGAATTTATCACTTTTGTGTCTAGCCATAACCTGGAGTGTGTGTTCACAATTTTAGTCTGACAGTTATGAGTTTGAGTCAGAAATCCACGCTTTATGGTCACAGAAAAATAAAACAAGTTTCCATGTAATTTGATTATGCACAGAAAATCCATTTTAACGACTTACTGAACTGGACAAACTTCCTGTTTCTGTTTTGGACAGATTGTGAAAGTGCTCCAAGCCCTTGGCAGCCTAGAGGCCTGGCTGGAGTCTGTGGAGCTCTCCATGAAGGAGTCTGCTTTGGCCGGTGACCCCGAGACAATGAGCATGGCTGAGAGGGAGAGCTGCCTGCTGGAGAAGGAGGTGGCGGCACGCAGCCTGGAGCTCAGCGCTTTGAGGCAGGAGGTGGACCGCCTTCACTCCCACAGTCACCCACACACGCGAGGGCTGCCAGCGCGCATGGAGGAGGTGGAGCGAAAGTACGTTTTACCGACTCGGAGAGGGAAAGGTCACCATTAGCCATTTGTTGTTGTCAGGAAATAAAGAGTCACTGTTTCCGACAAGTCATGGTTTGAGTTTACCAAGTTTGCGATCCAATATGGCAGAGTTTACCCCATAAACCAAGAATATACAACCATCCATAGATTTCACGAGTTGCCTTTTTATCCAAGCTGGCATAAAGCCCTCTCTCTCCATGGTCCTAATACATTTTTAGTGTGTCAAGCAGCACTTAGCTAGGTCTACCCTGCAGACCTGACACACCACGTGTCAGAGTCGCCCGTCACACGTTTTGGTGGACCTCTGGTTGGCTCCTGAAAAGCAGCTTGTTGCCACGGACCTTCAGTAAACCCTCCCGGTGCTGGCTGCTCTGCTGGACTCATGATGTCCATGAACAGAAATTCAGACTCTGTAAAGATCACAAAGCTGAGCGAAATGTAATAACAAAGACGAGGAAACGTCTCAGGTTAAGTGTTTCCAGGGTGGGGGAGTTTGAGGATGCGGTGAGCAGCTGATGATGTCATTATTTAATTCTCTGTGTTTGAGGCTCATTTATTCTGAAGAAAACCTACATTTTGTTGTTTTATATGTGAACTCTGCACACACGAGGCGCATTCATGCCCTACAGTAAATGACGTGTTTATGTGGCTCATGATATATGATAACATACGTGGTGCTGGAGCAACGCGGCAACAATCATCTCACAAGCTGCTGGTGGTGTCTGTCATGTGATACGAGTTATGTCAGGACGTGGAGGACAGTTAAGGTGCAGCTTTGAGCTAAATCAGGTCTCTCTGCTGTTTGTCTTTCACAGGTACCATCGTGTCCTCGGTGCTCTGACCCAGCAGAGCTCAGAGCTGCAGGACACACGCATGCTGACCGAATTCCTGGAGCGCGTGGAGCTGGAGGAGAGCCAGGAGTCGGGCCGATATAGCCATTGCCAGGTCTTAAACACACAGCCAGAGGCAGAAACGAAAGGATTAGCTTTAAGCTCCATGTAGATCGTTGCTTTGGTCACTCCTTTTCACGCACGTGTTCTGTTTCATCGTTTAGTTTGTGTGTTTTTCTGTCTCTTCCTTCAACAACCAGCCGATCCACAGTGACCTATCCTCAGCTCCTACTTTACTCGAGCTGCGGCGCAGTTGCGTCGGCGACGCCCTGATGGAGACGCTGGGGGACCCCGTGGAAGAGCTTCGAGAGGCTGTAGAGATGCTGAACGACACCGTGAGGGAAAGAGGTCGATCGCAAAGCCACAACCAGGCTGTTCAGGAGCTGCTGGCCAAGGTACAAGGATGGGAACGGGCGTGGCTTCGTGCACCCCTAGATCTTGTTGATTAGATCCGATTTTTGCAGCCACTCAATGTAGAATAGGTGTCGAGGGCACTTCCAGGAATCAAAATTACTTTAAAGATGAACAGTAAGATTAAAAATGTAGCAGCAAAATGAATTGTTTGACAGGAAATAATGGCACCAGTTTTGCTGAATCTTGGAAGTAACTTGCAAGTTCTTGCATGACCTCTTACACAGATCATCAGACTCCATCCCGTGATTCATTGTGTATTTTTCTAACAGATGGGGGTGAGTCTCAGCTACGCGCACAACAAAGTTCAGCTCAATAGCCGTAAAACTGACTGCGCCGTTGCCATTTGTCTCTTGTCGGTTATTTCCAACCGTTTTCCTGTAGATGGCAGGTGATGATGAATGGCAAGGCCGTTAAATGGCCTACAAGCCATGTTTGTGTGCTTTAACCAGCAACAGCTGAGGTCAGTAAAGTCTGTGCTTTTTATTTTGTGGTTTAAAAGCTAAAAAGTTTGGACGTGACGTTAAATGGTGGTGAAGTTCTTGGAATTATAATGGTAGCAAGCGTCTCTGTGTGCAGCAAA